CCATGGAGGAAGCTGTGGTTCTTCACCCGGTCGTGCAACCAATAGACTTCCTCAGTGGCTCGACGGATGACAGGTGACAGTGATTTTTGAAATACCCCGATGCAGTGCGGCGGAAAAGTCACTCACAGGCTCTTATTTTGGCACCCCAGCACCCCAGTTTTCATGACAGCTTGTCCATGCGACGTCAGACCCAAAAACAAAGTTTATTCAATTGCAAAGACCTGGGATCAGCTTGAATCTTCCGGCCAGCAATGACACAAGCAGGATGCCCGGAGGTGCTCAGAATTGCCAGCTGTTGGAGGCCCGCCACCTGCATGACATCTTCCAGAAGGCTTTGGTAGAAACCTGACCATTGGATGTTTCCAAACCCGATGGCCAGGGCCGAAGCGCTACCAGAGAAAACACGAGCCGGGTGAGACTCAGAGTGGCCAAAAGAAATAAAAAACGAAAAACATTGAATCATTGCACTTAGCGATGTCATGGATGACGAGAAACGGGCCGGTCTGGCATACGGCCATAGATCTATCAAAAAATCTCGGGGGCCGCAGTCCTCGTCCACGAGGCCGTCACACTCCATGGTATCCTCGTCAGCGCCCGCTTCAGCATCATTGAAAATGGCCCACTGGTCATCTTCGCAATCACTCTTGTTCAGCTCTTGTGCAGTATCGTGTGGTTGGCTCCCATCGCCTCAATGTCTGATGACAACGCGTTAGTGCAGAGTCGGCCAAACAAGCGAAATCGAGACGATGATTCAAAACACCACAAACCGAAAAACTTTATTATATTAAATTTAATATAATATATCATAAGAAAAGGACCCCCCCCCCCGGGGATCGGGGGGGTCCTTTGTGGCACTTTTCCGTCATAATGGATTAACCCATAAAACTGTAGGTCATGGACTGCTAAGGATTGTGGGTTGTGGTGCCAGACAAGCGGCTGATCAGAAGGGCCATTTCCGTCGATGACCGGAAGCAGCACATTTTCGACATGCAGCGCAACCGTGGCTGCTCCATCGACTCAGACCTGTGCTTCAGCAACTCCGCCGAATAAGGGAGAGGAACAGAGGCATCACTGTGGACCAAGATAAGGAAGGACGGAAGAGCTTTTCCAAGCCTCTGAGTTGGCCCCGCCGTGAGCTGTATCAAGACCGTCCGACAACTTTTGAAGAGCTGCTGGCACCGTTTCATGAGGGAATCCATCAAATCGAGTCTTGGGCCAAGGACTATACCAATGGCATACTTTGACAAGTTGCACTCTGTCAAAATTTCTTTGCAAACATCGATGTACGCGGAGTTCACCTTCAGCCTGCTCGTCCCAGCATCGATGATCACAGCCATCTTGTGGCCCACCAGCACCTCGTGACTAGTGGCCAGTGGTCTGAGAATAAACATGAATCAACATGGGACTTTAATCATGCGAGGACATGAAACCACCATAGGTTTCAGATATGGTTCAGCCGCCCCACAACATCCGCAAAATAGAAAGGCCCTAGGTTCGATTTTTATGGACATGACCTCCGGATTCCCAACCAAATCGGTGCTCTTTGGTCTCCACATCCAACATGATTCTAGGCCTGTGACTACCTCCATCCCCAAATGGGCAAGGCACATCCCTGCTGAGTGCTGCTTTCAAGTCGGCCGCACTGGTGAATGGATGCACGTGATCAAATTCCGACAAGGCATGCGTTTTGGCAGCCACCATGTCAGGATCCTCCACGGCCAAACTGTCTCCAGACTTTGCAAGCATGTCAATCGTGCCATCAAAATCATCACTCTCCGGCGGCTTCTCCGGTCCACTCTCTTCCTTTGTTTTGGTCTCGGTAGTCCCCCC